GAAATAAATAACTTACAGAAATGAAATAAATTAGTGAATGACGATATAGTTACGTCAATCAAAGAAGCATTTTAGGTATTAGTTAGGTTAGATTTAGCGTATATGAACAGTAAATCCAAGAACAGTTAGTAATCCTAAAAAAAACATCTTGTAATTATAGTCCCAAACATAAATTACAAATAATGGATGATTCAAAGAGCAAACTATCTATCAATAATAATCCCTTAATGAGATCAAATTTAAGCAGTATATATCAGTTAGCTGTTTACGTCCCTACAGTATACATTATTTAGCTGTTTACGTCCCTACAGTATACATTATGTAGCTGTTTATACCCCTACAGTACACCATATAGCTGTTTACATCTCTACAGTACATCATTTAGCCGTTCATTATATCTGTTTTATAACCTACAGGACTAATGTATCCTCTTAAAGATCACTGACACGAGCTTCACTGTATACTGTTGATAGTGAGTGAGATGGTCTGCTACAGTGAGGCATTGTTTGTAGTGAAGATGGTAGATAATAAACCAAGAAAGAAGACCTTATGAGTATAGACGCAGTAAAGACGCCTTGAGCATTCACTTCACACATAGCTGGGGTTATTCATGTCGTTAAAAGCCATAAAGACTCAGGGAAAGTGTATGGCTACCAGTCTTAGTTAGGGTGATCGATGAATTCCACAATGAACACTACGACTCCTTTTGTCTCGGTAGGGTTGTCAAGATATTTCGTCCGGTGTGTTATGTTCTTCACCTTGTTGCTCCTGACGATGACCCTCCTGTAGATACTGATCGTCTTTGTCCCTGGTAGAGTCGTCCAGGTTGGTTTTATGTTTCATGGAACTTCCCGATACACATCATCTCTCTCTCTCTCTCTCTCTCTCTCTCTCTCCATGAAGAACACACACACACACACACCTGGAATATATTTTATTTCCTTACATACTTTTAATAATGAGGATAACAGCATCTAATTTCCTTCTTACCTATTACACACACCCAAAATAAATCAAAGTACACACCTGTGATTCAAAACATTTCATTATTAATACAGGTAAATGGGTGTAAGAGTGTTGGGTTGGTGTGGTCCATGTTGAAGGATGAGGGTGACGCACCACTTTACCCCAAGCAGTATCTAAGCCGCTTGTTGAGGATTGGGTAGGATTTAACCCTTCCCCCCCTCTCCCCTCCTCCTGTATCCTTCCCCCCCCCACCAAAAAATAATAATAATACTACGCTGTGGGTTTTTTTTTACATCTTTTATTCAATCTTGTTAATGTAAGAAAAAAAATAGTTTAGTTTTCAATATTTTTTTTTTTTCCTGTTGTAAATATTTTTTGTTTAATTCCTGAGACGAAAAAGAGTTAACATATGTCGAAAGAGACGCGTTGTTATGGTGATGAAGAGATGTGTTGTTATGGTGATGAAGAGATGCGTTGTTATGGTGATGAAGAGACGCGTTGCTAAGGTGATGAAGAGATGCGTTGCTATGGTGATGAAGAGACGCGTTGCTAAGGTGATGAAGAGATGCGTTGCTATGGTGATGAAGAGACGCGTTGTTATGGTGATGAAGAGACGCGTTGCTAAGGTGATGAAGAGATGCGTTGCTATGGTGATGAAGAGACGCGTTGCTAAGGTGATGAAGAGATGCGCTATGGTGATGAAGAGCGTTGTTATGGTGATGAAGAGACGCGTTGCTAAGGTGATGAAGAGATGCGTTGCTATGGTGATGAAGAGACGCGTTGCTAAGGTGATGAAGAGATGCGTTGCTGTGGTGATGAAGAGACGGTGATGAAGAGATGCGTTGCTATGGTGATGAAGAGACGCGTTGCTAAGGTGATAAAGAGACGCGTTGTTATGGTGATGAAGAGACGCGCTGCTATGGTGATGAAGAGATGCGTTGCTATGGTGATGAAGAGATGCGTTGCTAAGGTGATGAAGAGATGCGTTGTTATGGTGATGAACAGACGCGTTGCTCTGGTGATGAAGAGACGCGTTGCTAAGGTGATGAAGAGATGCGTTGCTAAGGTGATGAAGAGACGCGTTGCTATGGTGATGAAGAGACGCGTTGCTAAGGTGATGAAGAGATGCGTTGTTATGGTGATGAAGAGACGCGTTGCTATGGTGATGAAGAGACGCGTTGCTAAGGTGATGAAGAGATGCGTTGCTATGGTGATGAAGAGACGCGTTGCTATGGTGATGAAGAGACGCGTTGCTATGGTGATGAAGAGACGCGTTGCTAAGGTGATGAAGAGATGCGTTGCTAAGGTGATGAAGAGACGCGTTGCTGATGCGTTGTTATGGTGATGAAGAGATGAAGAGATGCGCGGTGATGAAGAGCTAAGGTGATGAAGAGATGCGTTGCTATGGTGATGAAGAGAGTGATGAAGAGAAGATGAAGCGTTGCTTGATAAAGAGACGCGTGTTATGGTGATGAAGAGACGCGTGATGCTAGATGCGAGATGCTGCTAAGGTGATGAATGAAGAGACGCGTGAAGGCTGATGATGAAGAGACGCGCTAAGGTGATGAAGAGATGCGTTGTTACGCGTTGCTGGTGATGAAGAGATGCGTTGATGAAGAATGTGATGAAGAGACGCGTTGCTAAGGTGATTGCGTGGTGATGAAGAGACGCGTTGCTATGGTGATGAAGAGACGCGTTGCTGGTGATGACGGTTGTGCTAAGGTGATGATGCGTTGCTATGTGTGATGAAGAGACGCGTTGCTGATGAAGAGACGCGTTGCTATGGTGATGAAGAGACGCGTTGCTAAGGTGATGAAGAGATGCGTTGTTATGGTGATGAAGAGACGCGTTGTTAAGGTGATGAAGAGATGCGTTGTTATGGTGATGAAGAGACGCGTTGTTATGGTGATGAAGAGACGCGTTGCTATGGTGATGAAGAGATGCGTTGCTATGGTGATGAAGAGATGCGTTGTTATGGTGATGAAGGGACGCGTTGCTAAGGTGATGATTGATGAAGGGACGCGTTGCTATGATGATGAAGGGACGCGTTGCTATGGTGATGAAGAGACGCGTTGCTATGGTGATGAAGAGACGCGTTGCAACGGTGATGAAGAGACGCGTTGCTAAGGTAAAGATTCGTTTGTTTACCAGCACGAGGACTACGGTTGCTGTAAGTAAGTTTGAGCTCCTTGTGTTGATATTTATATAAGAACTTAAAAAAAAAATGGTTACCTTCACTGTCTTGTACATATTGAGTTAAATGCGCCTAAAACTACACCTGCAGTATTCTCACTACAGCTGACATACAGTACATACTTATATACAACATGATATAAACACATACAGCAAACAACATGATATAAACACATACAGCAAACAACATGATATAAACTCGAAACACTCAGAAAATAAACTAATTTATACAACCACCATGATTGAGGTGCCGCTTCTCAGCCCGGTTCAGAGTGGTTGAAAATTGCCTATATATCCCGACCAGATGGAACTGCTGTAGAACGACTCATGACGCCACGTATTTTCTGCTCGGGGAAACATCTGAACCACCTCACTCCCATACTAGTAGTTTATAGAGGCTGTAGAAATTGTGGTAGTTGTAGAGAATCACCAGTAGAGGTAGTTGGAGTTATAATAGTGGTGGTAGTAGGGTGGTAATTGTGGTTGGTTGTGGTGGTGGTTATTATTGTGGGGTAAATGGTGATTGTGGTAGCCATGGTAGTAATTGTGGTAGGTAGTTAGTGATGGTTCTTTTAGGGGAGTAGTTGTTGATTGTGAGTGGTCGTGGTAGTAATTGTGGTAGGTGGGTATATCATTGTATTGTTCCCAGAGTCTTATTGTATCATTGTATTGTTCCCAGAGTCTTATTGTATCATTGTATTGTTCCCAGAGTCTTATTGTATCATTGTATTGCTCTCAGAGTCTTATTGTATCATTGTATTGCTCCCAGAGTCTTATTGTATCATTGTATTGTTCCCAGAGTCTTATTGTATCATTGTATTGTTCTCAGAGTCTTATTGTATCATTGTATTGTTCTCAGAGTCTTAGTGTATCATTGTATTGTTCTCAGAGTCTTATTGTATCATTGTATTGTTCCCAGAGTCTTATTGTATCATTGTATTGTTCTCAGAGTCTTATTGTATCATTGTATTGTTCTCAGAGTCTTATTGTATTGTTCCCAGAGTCTTATTGTATCATTGTATTGCTCCCAGAGTCTTATTGTATCATTGTATTGCTCTCAGAGTCTTATTGTATCATTGTATTGCTCCCAGAGTCTTATTGTATCATTGTATTGTTCTCAGAGTCTTATTGTATCATTGTATTGTTCTCAGAGTCTTATTGTATCATTGTATTGCTCCCAGAGTCTCCACAAACCATATTCAATTCATTCTTATATAATTAATGTACTATCGTTAACAAAAATCTGTAACATAAACAACAATAGCTAAACCAGGTTCTTGTTTTGTTTACGATCTAAATCCTTCCCCCCCTCTCACCCCCCCTCTCACCCCCCACCTCACCCCTTTGTACAGAGAGAGGAAAATGTTGTCATTCTTACCTTGGCCCGCTGCACCTGAGATCATTCACACCGATGGTCGAATGAAACGAGATATTCCTGGAATTATTATCCAATTAAGCGTTACGTCTGTCCTGAGCATTAGGAAGTTATATTATTGCTTAAGTTTTCCAGTCATTGTTAATTAAAAAAAGGTGTTCCATCTTTTGTAATTAAGGGAAGTTCTTCATCACGTTTCTTTTGTTGTGAGGCTGAGATGATGTAGAGGAGGGGGAAGGGAGGAGGGGGAAGAGGGGGAAGGGAGGAGGGGGAGGAGGGGGAAGAGGGGGAGGAAGGAGTGGGAAGAAGTCTTGTCTGTGTCACCTACAGAAGATCTACTCATATATCAACTTATTTTCACTCCGTAGTAAATAATTAAAAACTCGTTAACATAAGGCAATAGTCATCTACAACCTCTACCTTAAGTTTGTGTTTAGATCCTCGTGGAATAATATAACGACCTAACTTAACATTATTTTCACTTAACTTACATTTATCGAGGAGGTTATGATCTCTCGTTCCCACCACATAGGTTGGGTCAAGTTACAAAGGTTGACCTCATTAGCTAATTAGGATACACCTCATGAGTATATAAGTACATCAGTTTATAAGAAATTTTTTACATAATTATTCATAGATTTTTTTTAGTTTTATTTGTGAATATATTTGAGCTACAACAATCACTCAGGTATATAGTGAGGTGATATATAGGTATACCTGCTCCCTACACCTGAACTCGTGAGAGGTTTGTGAGGTAAAGTCTACATTTCTTATACAGTGACTTAGCGTATTGTTTTGGCCAGGAGGAAGATCATCAATTACATTATACTTACAAGTTTATTTACGTGAAGATTCAATAATATTATGTGATTAAAAGCCTATATGACTTCCATACTAATTGAACATACATAACATTAAGCTTTGATGTGTGACAGAATCTTAAAACAGCTATTTATGAGACTATGATAAAGATGCTGTGTGAATTGGTAAAGGTGATTCATCCTCTGGCAGCCATGACCCCATCACACGATATACAGGAGATTCACCCATTGACGTGATACAGTGACTCAGTGTTGACTAGTACTCGTGGCGTTAACTCATATTTTAGAACCTGTTTTACTGACGCTACTGGCTGCTGTTACAAGACCCGACAGTAAAATGTAATTATAGGTTGATGGGTAAATTTGTGATGAGATTGGTGGAAAAATTTTATCCAGTTCCTTCTGATGTGACTGAAGAGGAAATAATTATGTGAGTCGTTGTTTATTGTTCCCGCCACGAGGATGACTGTACAGGTGTGTGTGTGTCAGGTACAGTGCAACCGACTGACCTTGAATGAATCAATGATGAATGTTGATGAATGTTATGGTGAATTATATATTAATATCTTATAATGAATACAGACTCCGGGGATGTAAATAAGACAGGATTACAATAGAGGCTGAAGCGGTGACAGACGGAAACTATTCGCTTGGTTGTTCGAGGTATGGTTATGTAGTCCAAGCCGCCAGTAGACACAGTGTGGCGTACAGCAGGTGTGGCCTTAACGTATGGCCAACAGTCGTAACTCTGTAGGTACACCTGTCTTACTTTTGTATCTCCTGACTGTAGGTCTTTTCTTAAAGCGAACAATAATACTACGAAAACATGAGAAAGTAAGTAACTCAACAACTAGAGTCTACTTCAGCACCATCATGAATCATCTATGGGAGATCCAAATGGACCCCTTAGACCCCACGTCCCGTTACTGGTGCACAGGGAGGCAGTTTGGCCGCGTTGACCTCCACCGTCTTTATTTCCCCAACTAAAGACAATGACAAAATGACTGTATCGCACGTCGCAGTCCTAATAACACCTTACTAAATTAACTCAGGATGCCTCGGGCGCGAACCACAGGGCGGGAGGCAAAACTTGTACCCACTCGGCCACTTATTATTACTATGACTCAACAAGTTACTCAGACTCGGGGTGGCTTTATGGTGTCCGTGTATTACTGCTTATAACCGAGTCAGAGAGTCTTCCGTCTGACAAACATATCAAATATGTTTACCTAACAAATGCTGTAAACTTTTGGACTTCCCCTGAGCAAGTGTGCGTGTGTGTGTGTGTATGACAATAAAACGGTTCCTCCTACAACAGACTGACAAAATACTGTATTGTTAACATATCATAATTAATCAACATTTCGAGTCCTTCTAAATAATCTTGCCATTCATAAAGCCATTGTTCCCCTATCATACTTGTTTACTTGTGGTAGTCCATTGTGTGCGATGATTACTTCCTCTTCTGGTTTATTGGTGAGTCCTATGATGGCTGTAGCGTCCAGTCCTTGACACACACTGCTTATTACAAACAGGCCATGTACTGTATAGTCTGGGTAGGGGGGCGGAGACAAGGCCACACGCGCATGCCTCCTTCGACGTTGCTCACAAGGTAGACGTGTTCTTGACTTTTCTTCATTGCTTTCTTAGTCTGGTCCTTGTAGCGTTTCTGTGGGCCGTCAGTAAAACGTCGACCCTCATGCAGTTGGTTGAAGCTCTTCAGGCATTCTTATGACGTGTCCGAGCCAGTGAAGTTGGTGTTGGATAACAGTTACTTCTATACTGCTATCACACACACACACACACACACACACACACACACACACACAGTCTAGCCAGCTTGGGCAGATCTCTCAGTAAGAAGAATCTCAAACTCGCAAGGGTTAAGGGTGACGCCACAGTGGAACTTGGTCGAGGGTTTGGTGTTGCCCTCAGGAACACCAAGCTCGTACTTCTGCAGCATCCCCGTCAGGAACTGGAAGGCCTCAATCCGTGCCAGTGATTCACCCAGACAGTTTCTGCGACCTGTGGTGAAAAAAAATCTTATTCTTAGTACAGTGAAACCTCTATTTAACGGTCTATATAAAGATGAAAGTCCGTTATATCAAGGGCCCGTTAACAGTTAAACCTCGTGTTATATTTATCCATAAAATATAAATCGAAGTGTCGAATGAAGTCTTTTACCCCCCACACACACGTATACTCACCAACAGAGAAAGGCAAGACGTGTTCCGAGCGAATCAGCTGACCCTCTTCGTTCAGGAACCTCTCCGGTCGGAAGATCTCAGGATCACCCCACACCTGCACACATCAGACGTCATTAAACACAGGTGAGACAAAAGGGGATAATGCCGATGAAAAACATAACATTATACGTCCAAGCTTGATGGTGAAAGATTAAACTCAACTTCTTAAGAGACAATACACACACAACTTTCCACTTGGGAGAGCAGTACAACAGACCTTCTTGTCCCAGTGAATACCCCAAATGTTGCCGATGACCCAGGACCTCTTGGGTATGCGGTACCCACCCAGTGTTGTCTCCTCTGGGTTGCCGTGGAGGGCGAGAGGCGTGATGGACCCGTAACGAAAAACCTCCGTCAGGAAGGCCTCAGTGTAAGGCATCCTCAGGCGGTCCTCGTACCTGGGGGAGTGAGGAACGTGTTTAAGAGAGAGAGAGAGAGAGAGAGAGAGAGAGAGAGGCAGGACTCGTTTTCTCATTAGTCAACGCAAATTAATAAGAGAAGTGCAGTAGTTATATAGTACATTGTAAACTATTGCTTGATTTACTGAACTGAGTAAATTTCAGAATTAATAGCTTACGGAGCTGAGACGGAAGATTAAAACCTTTAGTGACCATTAGGTAAAGTGACCCCACAAAGCTATAGTGATCCTCCAGTCTTGTAGTTTTTATTTACATCTTTTACTATTAAATATCTGACTGTACCTGTGATATCAACTACCCGAGAGGAATCACTTAAAGGTACTGAACTAAATTATGTTGTACGAGTAGATTGAAACCTATTAATAAAATGCTGACTCCCAGTATTAAGGATTAACCCTCTTACGTTGGCAAGCGATCTACGCCGATGTTGGCCTCAAGCTCCTGGAAGATCTTGTCTTGGATCTCTGGGTGACGGACGAGGAAGAGGAAACACCAGCGGAGTGTGGTGACTGTGGTGTCCAGACCCACGATGAACAGATCGCTCACCAGCCACTTGAGTTGGTTGTCTGTGATGAAGAAACTCGGGATGTAACTTGAAGGTCAGTTAGAGTTAGATGTCTTAGGTAGAGTCAGTTAGAGTTAGATGTCTTAGGTAGAGTTAGATGTCTTAGGCAGAGTCAGTTAGAGTTAGATGTCTTAGGTAGAGTCAGTTAGAGTTAGATGTCTTAGGTAGAGTTAGATGTCTTAGGTAGAGTCAGTTAGAGTTAGATGTCTTAGGTAGAGTCAGTTAGAGTTAGATGTCTTAGGTAGAGTCAGTTAGAGTTAGATGTCTTAGGTAGAGTCAGTTAGAGTTAGATGTCTTAGGTAGAGTCAGTTAGAGTTAGATGTCTTAGGTCGAGTCAGAGTTAGATGTCTTAGGTAGAGTCAGAGTTAGATGTCTTAGGTAGAGTCAGTTAGAGTTAGATGTCTTAGGTAGAGTCAGTTAGAGTTAGATGTCTTAGGTAGAGTCAGAGTTAGAGCTAGATGTCTTAGGTAGAGTTAGATGTCTTAGGTAGAGTCAGTTAGAGTTAGATGTCTTAGGTAGAGTCAGTTAGAGTTAGATGTCTTAGGTAGAGTCAGTTAGAGTTAGATGTCTTAGGTAGAGTCAGAGTTAGAGTTAGATGTCAGAGTCAGTTAGAGTTAGATGTCAGATATAGGTAGAGTCAGTTAGATGTCTTAGGTAGAGCAGAGTTAGAGTTAGATGTCTTAGGTAGAGTCAGTTAGAGTTAGATGTCTGTAGGTTAGAGAGAGTCAGTTAGAGTTAGATGTCTTAGTAGAGTCAGTTAGAGTTAAATGTCTTAGGTAGAGTCAGAGTTATGTCTTAGGTAGAGTCAGTTAGAGTTAGAGGTCTTAGGTAGAGTCAGTTAGAGTTAGATGTCTTAGTAGAGTTAGATGTCTTAGGTAGAGTCAGAGTTAGAGTTAGATGTCTTAGGTAGAGTTAGATGTCTTAGGTAGAGTCAGAGTTAGAGTTAGATGTCTTAGGTAGAGTTAGATGTCTTAGGTAGAGTCAGAGTTAGAGTTAGATGTCTTAGGTAGAGTTAGATGTCTTAGGTAGAGTCAGAGTTAGAGTTAGATGTCTTAGTTAGGTTATAAAGGGTGAGTTTCTGAAACATTGTGTTGTCAAGGTGTGTTTACCGTGTATGTCTCGCAGTGCAAAGTCATTATACACTTTCATCTCGTTTCGTTCTTCTATTTATCTTCTTTCTAGATTATAAACGGTGAAGTTTGCATCATATTTTATCTTTCACACACACACACACACACACACACACACACACACAGTTGCCTACTCGTCATAGCTTCTCCTAACATTGATCACTTGTCTACGTTGCCTGATGACACCAGGGGGTAAGTTATTCTAATTTCTCAATGGCCAAACTTTCCTAAGGTATTTATGCAGTAGACGCTAATTCTCACAGCCAGGTCAGTTTTTTCATGTAAATTTTAAACCCCTCAAGGTCTACCGCTGGTGTGTCTGGTGTCTTATTTGTACTTGCCTATCAGGGCTTAAGTATTATGACATTTACGGGGTTATTTTAGTTTCTCTTACCGGTGAAGACGGTGTCTGTCTTGCCCTGTTGAAGCTGCCGCCGCTGTTCCAACAGATACTGGTAAATGAAGTCGAAACCTCGTTCTGGATTGTCCAAATTAGCTCGATGTTTCTCAATCAGCTCAGTGATGTAATTGAGGCGATGCTGCACGTTGAGCCCCACCTTCACTGCCTTTGGCTTCATGAAAGTTCCTACGAACCTATAATGTAAGGAAATGTTCTCATATTGTTTAAAATAACTTTGGAATTTCAATAGAAGTCAGGGGAAAAAAGATATTTATTCTTACTGCAGCATAGGAGTGTAGTTAAGGAAGCCTCCCTGTTCCACCAGCGTGAGGGACTTCTCTATTGAGTCGACGATCCATCTCAAGGTCTTGTCTCCCATGGCGAATCTCTCACCCGCGAACATGTGCCACACTATGTTGAGGACGGAGGTGGCCAGGTCGTAGTGCAGGTTGTAGGGCTGGCCAACCCTTTTCTGTCAAATTAATATAATCAACATCATTTAATTATATATATTCTCTTTCTACAAATTGTCGTCTCATTCTTCAACATCATAGGACTGTACGCAACCACTCGTAGGAAACTAAAATTGAATGAAAAACAAAAGAATGCGACATCTAATATTGCCGACAAACCTGTGTGGCCTCCAGGAAGTCGTGCAGCTCCCGGTTGACGTAAGCCTCGACGGAGCTCTTACCCATGCCGAAGTCCCTCAAGACGTGGAGGGTGAAGCGTCGAGACTCCCGCCACACCCGGTCCTCTGAGTCAGCGATACCTGCACATTGACTGCGATAAAACAGAGCCCCCAAAACCTCTTGTTTACGGACATAACCAACTGAATGTTAGTTAATAAAAGTTAATAAAATAAACAAAGCAAACATTTAGACATAACACCTGGGTCTAGGACTGACCTTTACCGCCCATGATAAAGCTAAGGACGGTGCCCCTGGGTCGGTGGTTGAACATGTCGCCCTGCCTGACGAAGGCTTGAGTCAGCCAGTGGGAGGAGTTGATCACCACCACACGACGCAGACCCAGTTGCACGCTGTACAGTGGCCCATAGGTCTCAGCCAACCTGTTAAGTAATACATCCACCTTAACTTCTTGAGGTATGTTTTTCTTTTGTGATTTTTTTTCCAACATACATTGCGTCACTCGGTGTTCTTTATCCATCAGAGATGACGCTTTTAATTCAGGGAAATTAAAAAGAAAACGTGTTTAAACCTTCAAGCAAGAGATGAAAATGGAAAACTTGTATCAAGGCTCTCAGGAAGTACTTACTGTATTACCAGTGATATTTTCTCCCAGTTACTCCCTCCACTGGCGAGACATTGGCCCCTCAGATTTCAGTCGCTTCGTCCATACTGTTAAAAAAAAAAGTCACCTGCTGAAGTAATGGATGGAGTCCTCCCAGAGAAGGTCGAAGAGGTTACCGACGAGAGGGAGGCCTTTCGGTCCTGGTGGCATCCCTCGGTCGTCTGGCTGGTGAGTGATGGCGTACACCAGGACCACCACCAGCGCCCCCAGCAGTAGCGTCACCCACATCTCTCACTTAACTCTCACTCACTGGAAAAATACATCAATATTATTTCACTTTCTCAGTATAGATTAATAGATAAATAATACTAAATCGCCGTTTCTTTTGCTGTTCAGTTTTATAATAAACCAAGACAGGGAACGCGGGACTATCCATGCACTCATCCAGTATGGTTGAGTAAGGTCCTGGTTATAGTTAGTTTTAAACCTCTATACAGGTGTAAGTACATTGTAGTATAAACTTTACGCTGCATTATATATATGATAAACATAAACAGTATTAAGTGTAAGTAATATAAAAAAACTGTATCTATACCATTCCTGTATTGTGTTCTGTATAGTATATGAGAAACAAATGACTGTGTAAAAAAAAAAAATATCAGGCGTCAACAACTATGAGTTTCTGAGGTGATAAGTGAGAAGAATATCGACACACACACACACACACACACACACGCACACACGCGCGCGCGCCAGTCACCCCTCCATCACATGATCCCACGTAATATATATTAATAAACATTGTGGCGTATCATCTTACATTACCGTGGTCATTATAATCCTGCCTGTCATTCCTGCGTCACCTCAAATGATTACCCATAATTATCCAGTCATTGAGGGGGGAGGGGGTGGGGGTGGATTAGCCTTGTCCAAGATTCCTAGACGATGATATTATCCATTCAGTCATATCCGAGGGCCTATAATGAGGGAAGTGTCATATCCGAGGCCCTATAATGAGGGAAGTGTCATATCCGAGGGTCTATAATGAGGGAAGTGTCATATCCGAGGGTCTATAATGAGGGAAGTGTCATATCCGAGGGTCTGTAATGATGGAAGTGTCATATCCGAGGGTCTATAATGAGGGAAGTGTCATATCCGAGGGTCTATAATGAGGGAAGTGTCATATCCGAGGGTCTATAATGAGGGAAGTGTCATATCCGAGGGTCTATAATCAGGGAAGTGTCATATCCGAGGGTCTATAATGAGGGAAGTGTCATATCCGAGGGTCTATAATGAGGAAGTGTATCCGAGGCCCTATAATGAGGGAAGTGTCATATCCGAGGGTCTATAATGAGGGAAGTGTTATATCCGAGGGTCTATAATGAGGGAAGTGTCATATCCGAGGGTCTATAATGAGGAAGTGTCATATCCGAGGGTCTATAATGAGGGAAGTGTCATCCGAGGGTCTATAATGGGAAGTGTCATATCCGAGGGTCTATAATGAGGGAAGTGTCACATCCGAGGCCCTATAATGAGGGAAGTGTCATATCCGAGGGCCTATAATGAGGGAAGTGTCATATCCGAGGGTCTATAATGAGGGAAGTGTCATATCCGAGGGTCTTTATAAGGGAAGTGTCATATCCGAGGTCAATCATATCCGAGGGTCTATAAGGGAAGTGTCATATCCGAGGGTCTATAATGAGGGAAGTGTCATATCCGAGGGTCCGAGGGTCTATAGTGAGGGAAGTGTCATATCCGAGGGTCTATAATGAGGGAAGTGTCATATCCGAGGGTCTATAATGAGGGAAGTGTCATATCCGAGGGTCTATAATGAGGGAAGTGTCATATCCGAAGGTCTATAATGAGGGAAGTGTCATATCCGAGGGTCTATAATGAGGGAAGTGTCATATCCGAGGGTCTATAATGAGGGAAGTGTCATATCCGAGGGTCTATAATGAGGGAAGTGTCATATCCGAGGGTCTGTAATGAGAGAAGTGTCATATCCGAGGGTCTATAATGAGGGAAGTGTCATATCCGAGGGTCTATAATGAGGGAAGTGTCATATCCGAGGGTCTATAATGAGGGAAGTGTCATATCCGAGGATGTATAATGAGGGAAATATTGATCTTTTCATTGTGTTTTCTAGATCTCGTTTATACAGTGAGCAGCCGGTCTAGTACATCAGATAAGACATGATATCAATTGTCGTGTTTTTTTTTTTAGAAGATTCTGAGTGTCACTGTGTTTCTGATGGCCATGGCTCTGTCTACCTTCCCGCGGAACTCTCAATCAGATTACTCTTCTTTAACCTGACATGTAATCTGATTCCTAAAGGCTCATAACTACTTTTTTTTTTCATATATATTAACCCCAAATGTGTGGTACGCGGTGAAAGGGTTAAACTTTTAAGTGATAGTCACATGAGAAGTTTGACCCGTACCTGATGACGTGGCTGTGATCAAGAGCACGTGATGCGATATAGAGATGATTTGCATATGAAAGATATTTAGACTCGTGATCTTTAAACTGCAGGTTAGGTAGATGCAGGTGGGGGGAAGCTCTGGCAGGGTGGGAGGGAGTTCCATATATATATATAATAAGGAATAAAACATGACTGAGAAAAACAAGTTAAAATATAATATCCAGTTTGCTCTCTGTAGTAAATTAGTAATAAAATACCTGAGCTCCGGTATATAAACATTATCAGTAACCCTAAAAAAAATGATTAGCTATAAAATAAAATAAAATATATTAAAACAATTCACCCCTGACCCATCTGACTTTTAGTAATGGGGTCACCAAAGTATTCGTGTACATTAAATCATTTGGTAGTTTGAATAATGTTGAACTCATTCCAAACATACATACAAGTAAGTGATATCAGTTATTTAAGACATGTTATTGAAGATATTTAGTTATCATACTCATAGAAATCAGTAAGTTATCGTTATCTAAAGGTAGATATATCGTTTGAAAGTTTTGTCACTAAGCGCTAAAGGACATGGTTGGTTACTGTCGACTAGGTGTAAGTTAAATGGCCGGTAATCTTAATAGACTCTAATCTAACCTAACCTAACCTAATATCATCTTTTGTAATTGGCCCCTATTAAGGTTGGATACTAATACCAAATATAGGTCAGCTCGAGATTGAGGGCCTATTATAGCTTATTTGACCACTCATAGAGACCCTAACCCCGGATTCTGATTGGTTTGTACGATCATTGATTTGATTGGCTAAAAGATCAGATTTAGATTGGAATACTGTATAATCACAGCATAATTTTGACACCAATTAGAATTCAACTACAAGTAGGTGGATTGATGGATGCCACCAGTGGATGACAGAGGTATGCAAAGCGGTGGATGACAGAGCAATGGATGAGAAAAAGACTATGAAGAGAGATAACGACAGCGAGACAAGAATTACCAACACTTTTTTTTTAACGAGACAGCGTGACCAGTTCGTGATTGCGGGGGGGGAGATAGAGTGTGTGTGTGTGTGTGTGTGTGTGTGTGTGTGTGTGTGTGTGTGTGTGTGTGTGTTGCTCGGTAATAGTGACACTGCAATACAAGATAACCAAACAGTGAAGTGGTAACAACAAGGAGGGTAGGGTGGGGGGTTACCGTATACGCTTGACTGATTGTGAGTTGTAAATAAGTAAAAAAAATTAATAGCATCATGGTGATTAATATTTTGTATAGTAAACCTTCCTAATACTGGACTAATTCTTGCAAGGTCTATCCGTTATTGAGAGGGTATATTGTATCCGTTATTTTATTGAGAAGTCCATTATTGAGGGTTTATTGTATCCGTTATTTTATTGAGAAGTCCGTTATTGAGAGGGTTTTTTTTACACCAAGGACGAACTTAGGAAGATGCACAGGACACCACCAGTTACAAGGGTGACCTCATCGATCAAGACGACCTTAACTAACAAACCAATTGACGAACTAACTACAGTACTAACTAATTAAATCTTACTAACTTCTAATTAACTCGAAATCTTTTTTGTTTTATTGTTTGGTTTAAGCCATCGTCCTTAAAATCTCTAAACCACTGTCCTCAAGTTGTTAAACCATCGTTCTCATAGGGTTTAGTTCTTGATTGATACTGTTGTTGCTTGTTTGTTCAGGTAATAAGCAACGTATATAAGGTTTAATTAGATTTATAAAACGAAAATGACTTATTGTATGCGTAGGTATGTAACCCGTAATTAAGTAAAGATCACAATATAGCCTTTATAGTATTGCATAAGACAACAACAACAGATTACAACTCAATAAATTAGTGTTGTTGATGCCATAATGTATTGTTGTGTTTTAATAACTATAAATGTCTGAGGATGTGTGTGTTCTAAATTCTCTGGTTTTTCAAATAGGTCAAATTTATTAGTTTTTATTCTTGATGTTGTCAGGTGTGTTAAAGGGTACGACCAAGAAGTATATTTTATGTTAAAATTTTACAACATTCTGAAGAAAAAATATATCCTTTTGTGTTCCTGTTTTTTTTTATTTGTTTCATATGATTTTTTTTTTTATTTTGCGAATCATTATAGAAAGTCACATACGGGAATGACAAGCGAATGGAATCTCGATAATAATGTTTATAAGTGAATATTCTTATTACAACAACACACAAACATGTATTCAATTAAGATTACCAGTATTTATAAAAAAAAAAAATATCCAGAAGTATAGTTCAAGAAAATGAAATAAAAACACTTTCTGACCTGGTGTGTGTGTGTGTGTGTGACTGGTGCAGGAGGAAAACCCGGGAGAACTCGTGGTCGACAGCGAGGAGTGGGAACTGTCGGCCCATCTCCTCTCGCCAAGTCGCTGGGCCCCGTCAAGCACCCTTACCCCAACCTTGTGACGTTTTTGGGTGGGGGGGTTGTGGTGAGGTGGTGGGGGATGTGTTGGGGCTGGAGGGGGTAGGGATATGTTGATGAAGACCAGGATAAATTATAAAGTCATCTAAGTTTTTTTTTTTTTTAACAAACTCGATACCTTTTTTATGTATATATAATCTATTTATCTTTTTATACATATATTTTTTTATGGTAGTCAGTGAAGATTTGCTTGCTTTATTTCCGTGAGTTAGCTATGAGGTAGGTTGACTGTCTCGCTATTATAATGTTATTCTTATAATCAACACAATGGGAGTGATAAATAATGTTCCTTATATACACTGATCCATGACTCAACAAGGAAACAATGTGAATTTTCTCTGGTGAGGCAGACACATTCTAACTAACACCATGAAGGCGCGTATGATACCGTGTACATACAGTATATCAATATACCTTAGAGGATCACAATAACCCTCCGTTGTTGTTAATTTTATAATGTTATTACTGCGCTTCAACAACAAAGATCTTTAAACGCGTAACAACCTTAGTAATGCACTCGTCCGGAAAACACACTTTGACATCCTTACATCAGACTGAAGGTTGGTTGACTACGACGCGACATTGTTCTCAATCTGGCAGGTTAGAAGTGATACTGATACCTAAAGTAATTTTTACCAGAATTTGAGGTAAGCAATCTTAATAAAAAAAAATTAGTGTTCAATATAAGTTAACACGAGTAATCCGCGCCATAACACCGCTACTCACGACCACATCCCAAGGAATTGCAGCTTAAGGTCACCAGCGCGGATTAATGTATCATCTCTGCACATGAATTAAATGTGACTTTCCATGTGATTATAGGATCTCCAAATCTTTCCTATAGATTCAAACATGATTTTCGTTTCTAATCTGATTCGCTGCCTGTGGCGGTCCACACTCCTCCGCCGATCGGAGGTATATAGGACAAAGGTCAAGGACAAAGTTGGGCCTTTAAAGTCAGGGAGGGGAGAATTGATAAATGGCAGTGAAAAAATAAGCAAAGCATTGAACAGCTACTTCTTATCAGTTTTCACAGAAGAAATTTGCGATGAAATTCCGGAGGTGGAACTGATATTTAAGGGAAAGGAAGAAGAGAAATTAAAGAATATCACTATCAGAAAAGAGGATGTTCTTAAGAAGATAAATAAACTAAAGAATACAAAATCCCCAGGGCCGGATGAAATTTTTCCTCGAGTCTTAAAAGAGTGTAGGGAACAGATTAGCGGACCCCTCGTAAACTTATTTACAAAATCATTAGACACTGGAGTTGTGCCAGAGTTGTGGAAACAGGCAAATGTAGTACCCATATTCAAAAAGGGAGACAGAGCATCAGCGTCAAATTACCGGCCGATCAGTTTGACGTCAGTAGTGGGGAAATTTCTTGAATCAATTATAGCAGATAGCATCCGATCGCATCTAGAGAAAAGCAAATTAATCTACGACTCTCAACATGGGTTTACAAAGGGAAAATCTTGTCTAACAAATCTGCTAACGTTTTTTAGGAAAGTCTTCGAGGTAGTAGATAATGACGAAAATTACGATGTTATTTACTTAGACTTTAGCAAAGCATTTGACAGAGTACCGCATCAGAGGCTTCTGAGAAAAATTAAGGCTCATGGTATCGAGGGGAAAGTTTTAAATTGGATAAAATCATGGCTCACCGATAGAACGCAGAGGGTCAGCGTAGATGGTGTTAAATCTGAGTGGGGCCGTGTAACCAGTGGGGTTCCCCAGGGGTCAGTACTTGGCCCACTCTTGTTCATAATCTACATAAACGATTTAGATACTGGGATCAGCAGTGACATAAGCAAGTTTGCGGATGACACCAAAATAGGGCGGCAAATTAATTCAGGGCAGGATGCAAATGCATTACAGGAGGATCTAAATAAACTGCAGGGGTGGTCTGAAAAATGGCAAATGAAATTCAACACCAGCAAGTGCAGCGTACTTAATATTTGGAAGAACAAATACTTATAATGTATACAGCCTTAACAACATCAACCTAGAGAAGTCTACTTGTGAAAGAGACCTAGGGGTACTTGTAAGCCCGGACCTACGGCCTAGAAAACAGTGCGTTAATGTTCGAAATAAGGCAAACAGAGTATTGGGTTTTATATCTAGAAGTGTAAGTAACAAGAGTGCAGAGGTCTTATTGCAACTATGTCTTGCGCTAGTTAGGCCGCACCTCGATTATGCGGTTCAGTTCTGGTGCCCCTATTATAGAATGGATATAAATTCACTAGAGTCGGTGCAGCGAAGAATGACAAAAATGATTCCGGGACTTAGAAACCTTCCATATCAGGATAGGTTAAAGAAACTTAACTTGCATTCCCTAGAAAGACGAAGAATGCGGGGAGATATGATAGAAGTATTTAAGTGGGTGAAAGGAATCAATAAAGGGGATATAGATAAAGTTCTTATAATATCCGAGCAGGATAGGACTCGGAGCAACGGATTCAAGTTGGATAAGTTTAGGTTTAGAGGGAGATAGGAAGAAACTGGTTCACAAATAGGGTGGTGGACGAGTGGAACAAGCTTAGCAACTTTGTAGTAAGTGCGGGAACTCTGGAAAGTTTCAAAAGGAAGCTAGATAGATTCATGGATGATAGAGAGTGGTAGTAACTCTCGACAGGAGCTGCCATGCACACTGCACAGGCCAACCGGCCTATTGCAGACTCCTTATTTTCTTATGTTCTTAAGATAGCCAAGGCTCGTCTCGACAAGAAACTGAGCTACAAAGAGGCCCTCCTTGCTGTACGCTCCCAAGACAAGAAAAAACCAGCAGAAAAGAAAAACCAAGAAACAAAAACCCAAGAAAAGAAAACTCAAGAAAAAACACCCACCACACAGAACCAAGAACACCACGAGGCCCGTGGAGCTGAAGCCCACGTGGTCAACCTCACCGTCTCCGACTTCTCCCACACCTATGAGGACTTAAGACACGAGGAAGACGAACAACAAGACCCAAACACGAATGAATGGACACTTCAAGAGAGCAAGAAGAGGAGGAGAGTTAAAAGAAAATCGACATCAAGCAAAGAAGAAGACCAAGACATTTCCTCCACACAAGAAAACAACACACACAATCAAGCCGACCAACACGCACCTGACGCTTGACCTGACGCTAGCCTGGCTCTGTCCTGTCGCCTCCCGGCCGCGCCCGGGCGAGTTGCTGCTGCCTCCAACTTGTACTCCCTCACGCAAGCGGTGTTTAGCCACTGCACCTATTCTCTCCTCCTAAAATTCACTTCAATCCTCCCTTTATTCTTCCCCTGAACCTCCTTCCCCCCTGTCACTAGCATTTCATGTCATGTCATGCTGTACGCGGGCGCTTGTGGTAGAAGCGGTACCGCTCTTGCCTTGCAAGCAAGATGTCACGGGTTCGATTCCCGGGCAAGCGGAAGTTGTTTGGACACTCTTCCTAGCCCCCTTGGTCTCTGTTCACCTAGCAGTAAAGTAGGTACCTATTGTAAATCGAAAGGTTGCGAATTCGTATTCAGGGAAAGTTGTTGGAGCTTCTAAACTTGAACTAACACAATCCGGAGGAGTGGTGACCCGAGGATCACACACCCAACACAGACAAAACCAAATACGTGTAAGGCTGTAGTTAACAGCTACGAATTCCAGGGAATGAGTAATGACGAAATCAAGTACCACATGAAAGATCAAGGAGTCGTCGATGCCTTCGTCTTTAATAGGAGGACCGCAGAGGGAGAAAGAAAGCGATCAACCACAGCTGTACTGACTTTTGATGGACTTGTTAGGCCCACCCATGTATTGGTAGGATATGAGAGAGTCCAAGCAAAAACATACATTCCATTTCCCATGCGATGCTTCAACTGCCAAAGGTTTGGACACACTGGTAAGGCCTGCCGTAACACCCAGGTATGCTGTAAATGTGCTCAAAGCGGACACAGGGAAGATGACTGCACACAAACTGAGGAAAAATGCTACCACTGTTCGGGTCATCATGCTGCCTCAGACAGGAAGTGCCCTGTGAGAGCAGAGACTAATTTGGACTACAGGGAGGCTAGGAAGCAGGTGGAGATGTCCTTGCAGACACCAACACCTGGAATGTCCTTCGCATCCGCTGTAACCAAAAACACCTCACCTCCCAAAATGTGCACCACTGGAACACAGACTGAGACCAGGACCATTGCAACACAAACTGACTCCACACTCACCGGATATCCAACCACAGACGCCAACGACGAAAACTCAAAGACAACTATGACTACTACCGAGACTAAAACTAATAACAAGTTAAACGAGACTACCAAATTTAAGCAGACTGTCGACCTTGTCTACCCCCAGGTAATGAGAAGGTCGCTATCTGTCGAAAGCATGACAAGAGACTCCTCACCACAACCATTGTTTCGCATTGTTGAAACACACCGGGGGCTGGGAGCCCCTGCCGAGCAGAGAACTGGCTTTTTGGAGCCAGGGGACTGCTCACGAAATACGAGGGACATACCCCGGCACACAATTCCCCCCCGAAACAAGAACAAAGAAAAGGAAAACCCAAAACGCTGACCATATCAACTCTCAGACTTAAAATTCAATATCATCCAGTGGAACTGTAGAGGTGCTAGGAATAAAAATGCTCAATTTCATTTACTAAAGTCATTATTCCGGCCAGACGTTTTTTGCCTACAAGAGACGCTACTTGCGGGTCAGGACGACCCACCTGTATTTGACAACTACACGTCCTACAGGGGAGACAACCTAAGGGGGGCAGCCCTATATATTAGGAGTGAATTCGCCCAACAAAGAGTCAACCTGAGCGTGAACCTGCAGGCTGTGGCGTGCAGCGTTTTGGGCCCAATATTATTTATCATAATGATTAATGATTTCCTATCACCAGCACCCAGCTTAAGTGACCTCAAATTCTCCTTGTTTGCTGACGATTGCGCAATCTGGCGCTCCTCTCGGATTGAGAGACTATCTGC